TTGGCAATGTCTTGCATAAAGATATGCATGTCCTATGGCCTAGCAATTCCTTCCATTAAATTTTCTTCCAGTGTTATATTTATTGAACAAAGATGGTATAGGTTTTTTTCAGCTCATCTTTTTCTAAAAATCTACAGAAAATTTGGGGAAAAAAATATTAAACATTCTTTTATCTTTTGTCTGTAGTTATCAGTTGTTAATAGTTTGCTACATTCACTTATTTTCATATCTGGTGTTTTTTTTGATGAACTATTGGAAAGTAAGTTACAGACATCTGATCCATATAAATACTTTTCAGACACTTCTTTTTTTTTTTTTTGGTGGTGGTGCTGGGGATTGAACCCAGGGCCTTATACATGTGAGGCAAGCACTCTACCAACTGAGCTATGTCTCCAGCCCCTTCAGACACTTTTTGTAAGAATGGTATTTTCTTATATAATTACCCTATTATTGTGCCCAAGAAAATTAGCATTAGTTATATAATATTTATATAAAGTATATATTCATATTTTTCTAGCTATCCCCAAGATATTCTTTACTGTTTGTATGTATATGTGGGTTGTGACATTGTCAAGATTTACTTGGGGGCTGGGGTTGTGGCTCAGTGGTAGAGTGCTCACCTAGCATGTGTGAGGCAATGGTTTCGATCCTCAGCACCACATAAAAATAAAATAAAGATGTTGTGTCTACCCCAAACGAAAAAATATATGCATAAAAAAGATTTACTTGGTAGAGCTTTTTAGTCTTTGCATTTGGTTATCTTAGCTCTATGGTCTTTTTTCCATCTTGAACAAACTCCTTTTTGGTATACTTTTATTTTTCAGGTTGAGTTCCTTTTCATATTTTATCTTCCTGAATATATTTTGATTCTTCCTTTTCACATCTTTAAGAGGGATCCAGTCCAAAGGTCTGAGTTGCCTTCCTGCCCCTTCTGTATACGACTGCAGAGTACCTAGATGGGAGCCCTAATTATTTCTTCTTCCTCATCATCTTGCAACATCAAAGTGTGTTGGGTTTTTCTCACTGATGTGAGGGGGAGAATGGTTTTTGTGATTGTGTTCTCCTGAGTTTCTTCTTGCCCAGAGTTAAATTGCTGCAGGAAGTCTCTAACATAGGAATAGGTGGTTTCAAGAGTGACTTATTTAAAGAATGGCAAAATATTGCTGAGCACAGTGGCACATGCCTGAAATCCCAGTGGCTCAGGAGGCTGAGGCAGGAGGATTGCGAGTTCAGAGCTAGCCTCAGCAAAATTAAGGTGCTAAGCAACCCAGTGAGACCCTGTCTCTAAATAAAATACAAAATAGGGCCGAGGATGTGGCTCAGTAGTCGAGTGCCCCTGAGCTCAATCCCTGGTACCAAAAAAAAAAAAATGTCAAAATATTGACATTTACAGGAACTGAGTGATAGTTACATGACATCAGTTTATTTTACTCACCTCTCTTTTTTGTGTATGCATGAAATGTCATGAGGTTCTTTAAAAATATGTCAGTAGCTAAAACTTGAAAAGTGCTTTTTTCTTTTCTTCTTTGGCTTGTTATATTTTAAATGGTTTCATTCCCAAGCTGGTCTTCCTAGTCCGAGGCAAGCTGAACCACTGCACATGGAGCATCCTTTCCCTAACAGCCTTAGTCCTCTGAGGAAGGTACTCAGGCCAGAGGGCAGTTAGCAGTTTGTGTCCCTGTGGTGCCTGGCGGCATGGGTGCGGAGGAAGCTGGTGTCAGTGTGCATGGGTTGGCTGGAAAGTTGAGCAGCAGAGTGGAGTAGCAGATTGTCACAGCCCAGAAAGCCTGGAGACTGGTCAACCCATTGTTTTTAGATGAAGAAATTTAAAGGCAGTGGATATTAGAAGCAGGGAGTCTGGTGGGGTTCACCGGCTCACCACACACATATTCCTCCTTCTCTTCCTACCTCAGGACTGCACGTGTGAGGAATTCTGCCCTGAGTGCTCTGTGGAGTTCACCCTGGACGTGAGGTGCAATGAAGACCAGACGCGGCACGTCACATCCCGAGACCTCATCTCCAACAGCCCCCGGGTCATTCCGGTCAGTGCCTGAGCACATCCTCCCTCCCCAGGGTTTTGTTCTTGTGGTGGCTCCACATGGGCCAGGTTGGAGTGGATCCTAGCGAGTCATTGACCTTCCTGTGCCCTGTCTTCTTTAACCTGACACCTGGAAGTGCTGATTCTGGATTCTTAGGCAGAACAGGATTGGTGCCTTGTGCCCTGTCACCTGAGGAACCTGTAAAGGCCATGGGATTATTTTGACTAAACGGTATTACAGGAGCATAAAGTGGAGTGGAATCCCTGGCGGCACCTCTGCCACCACTTTCTCAGGTGTCATTTCCCTGCTTGACAGATTGTAGGCTGGAGGTGCTGGGAGATGGCTGCCAGAGGGGCACCTGGCGGGGGAGAAGCTAATAGATGCTTCTGTTTGGGCTCCAACGCAGGTGACATCCCGGAACCGAGATAATGACCCCAACGACTACGTGGAGCAGGATGGTAAGGGGCTGGAGGAGTGTGCAAACATTTTCCTGAGCTGTCACCACATGGGCCAGAGGGGCAGCCTCTCGTGCCGCCAGGTCTCCTTGTGACTTGGTTCTGTTTTTCTGTGTGTGTGTGTGTGTGTGTTTCTTCTGATCGCACTCCAGGCCAAATTTACCTCTCCTGGTCCTTGACTAACTCACATGTCTCCTTGCAGACATCCTCATTGTCAAGCTGAGAAAGGGCCAGGAGCTGAGGCTTCGAGCCTATGCCAAAAAGGGCTTTGGCAAGGAACATGCCAAGTGGAACCCCACTGCAGGGGTGGCTTTTGAATATGATCCCGACAATGCCCTGAGGCATACAGTGTACCCCAAGCCTGAGGAATGGTATGTTCCTTTCAGAAATGAAGGTGGGCATTTAGGGCTAGAGCGGGGGTGGACACAACTGCTAGTGAGCGAGAAAGGGTTGGCTGGCTGTGAACGTCAAAGAGCAAAAGCAGCTGCCTTATTGACCTGTGTTTGACCTCAGGCCAAAGAGTGAATACTCAGAGCTGGATGAGGATGAGTCACAGGCTCCCTATGACCCCAATGGCAAGCCAGAAAGGTAAGACCCTGGTCCTTTCCGGGATGTGGGTACAGGCTGAGTTAGGCAGTCCCGCTCCCTCACATCATAGTTCCCATAGCTGAGGGAGGCCCCAGCTGCCCATCAGCTTGTGATATGTGCACATCCCAAGCCCTTTTTGGTAACCATGAGAAAGAGGAACTCTCCGCTGACCCAAGCTGTTCCTATTCTGCCTTGAGCTTCCAAAGAAAAGGCTGTGCAGGTCCAAGTTCAAGGCAGAAACTGGCCACAGTGCTACAGTGCAGAATATATGGGGCTGTAGCACAGATTCATTGCTTATTTGATTTTCCACTTTTTCCACAGTGTAGAACATACATGGTTGTTTCTGGAGTCTCACAATGCATCTTGAAGTAACGTTAGCCTCCTTGAGGGCCTGCAAAGAGTTTGGACCACTCTGCATAAGAGGTTTTAGATGAAGGGAGGTCAGCCAGTGCTAAAGTCAAGTTCCTTATGGGAACAAAGTCGAGACTCAGAGGAAGGGTAGTCCCTGGCCGAGATGGGGCGGGCTGGCCAGCCTGCATCCAGGGCTCTCACTGGATTCTTGCTTTTTAGGTTTTACTACAACGTGGAGTCCTGTGGTTCTCTGCGCCCTGAAACCATTGTTCTCTCAGCTCTCTCTGGATTAAAGAAGAAGCTGAGTGATTTACAGACTCAGTTAAGCCACGAGATCCAAAGTGATGTGCTGACCATAAACTAGCTTCAGCTCACCTATTTCAGCAAAAGTGGGGATTCCAGATAGTAATTGGGTTTCAGGTCTTTGACACCTTCTGGTTTGGGGTCTCTGGACTGCTATTCAAGCCTCATGACAGGCCATCAGTGCCAGCCAGAGGGGGGCTGCAGATTACTAGGGATGCCACTGGAATTTAGGGTAGGACAGTTTTTACTAGACAGTTAGCATGCCTGGCCCTATTTGTTAAGGCCCAATGGTATTCCCCAGCACCCAGAACATCCCTCCCATCCCATTTCCTAGCACCCCGGTAGGGGGCATACTGCTTCCCCTCTGAGAACCACTGAGCTGGACTCCTCCTGGTCATTGCAGCTCCTTAATACCCTTTCCATCCAACAAGAAGGGATTTTCACAGCTGGAGCTTAGGTTTTCGGTGTTAGGATTGAGTGCTAGAACCTTCATTTAGGCAGGTGATAAATGCTCCTGACTCTTTCCCCAGAGCCAGGCTACTGGCACCTCAAATTTCTGGGTATTCCTAATTTGGAAAGTAATCCTTTAGGATAGACTCTGGCTGTCCCCTCCCTCCACAAATAAACATGCTGTTTGAACACTTTCCCCGCCAACAGCCTGATCCTTTTGCTTGGTGTGGGGGACCGCAGAAGCAAAGGCCCCTTCCACCTGTTTCATTTCTCCTTAACGAAGGTTCTGGCCCTGGCCCCTTAGCGCTGTCTTCAGGTAGGAGCCTACCCAAAGCAGTTAATGAGGCAGCCTGGAGAAAACCAGAGTTCAGTCTAGAAAGGAAGGGGTATTTATTGATTAACAGTAGTTGTCTTTTTTAAAAGTTTTTATTTTTGGCAATAAAGAGCACAACATAATCTCCTTCATGCGTCATCGTGCCACTAGCTGAGCCAGCCAGCTTTACCACCAGACCCAGTCCTGTGGACCCCAGTTCCCGCTGCAGACTAGCTTACTCTGGGTGGTCATTCCCTGGGTCACATCAGAGCTGAGCTGGCTGTGCCACCTCCCTGTCTCTAGGGCTCCTTTGGGAGGGGTCCTCTTGCTTTAGCATTCTCCTGCCACAAACGTAATAGTGGTTATTTACAAGAAGGTCTGTTCCCACAAATCCGAACCCTAAAGTATTAAAAAACAATAAACAAAAACCACGCAACCAAAGGTTTGATGTGAATAGAAAGATAGCCCTTCTGCAACGGTAGTCAATAAATACCAGCACTAGAAAATCAATTGCTTTAATTGCATTTCAGCAGGGAGCCTCAGCACCATGTGGGGAAGAGAAATGGGGAAGTGGTGGTTTGAGTGCTCTGGCATAGGGTGGCCAAACCCATGGCAGAGGGTCTCCCTCTCCTGGGGCACTGTACCCCAGTCAATGAGAGGGCAGCAGGGGTGCTCCCCACAGCAGTCCTGCCGCAGCCGCCTGGCCTGGCCTGGCCCTGGGGCAGGAACGGGCCCCAGCCATCCTCCACCTGGCTGAGGTAATAAGCACCCCTACCCTGAGGACCTCTTCTCATCCTGCTAAGCAGGAAGGAGCCTGTGCAGAAATTACATTTTAAAACCAGATTTTTCACCTGAGGCATCAACCAGATGTCACCTCTGCTTAAAACTCCAAGTGCAAGGCTGCTAAGTGGCATTCTGGAAGTTCGGATCCTTCCTGTGCCACTACAGGCCCAAAGGAACAGAGAAGCCACCTGCTGTCTTGGCCACTAGGCTGCTTGGGAAGTCAGCAAGCAATGCCAGCCTTGAGTTCTGATTGTCCCCCTCCTCTGGCCCTGGCAATTCAAGCAGGTCCTGGCAGCAGGAGGGCTGTACCACAAAGGACAGGCAAACAGCTGCCCTCATAATCTTTATAACAGCCTTGACCATGGCCTGGTCATGGGATTAAAAATGTATGTGTTGGCGGGAAGGGACAGGGGGAAAATCTTAATATAGAATATGTCATAAGCCATAAATATTAAAATCATCAACAGGATATAGTCCATGGTGGCTCCGGCCCCTCACATGCTCAGGCGGTGTGGCCAGCGCTTTGCCTTGGTCCAGCCTCACCCTCGGGGTCAGGGAGGGAACAGCTTGCTCCCTTTCTCCAGGTCTTGGCCAACAGCCTCTTGAGGCCATCCACAGTAGGCTGTAGTCTGTCCTGCAACAGGCAGCCCCCAACAGTCATTGGTGCCTGCCAGCCCTGCTGTCACTGGGAAGGGGTCTTTGCCTCGCTGCTGTCCCCCTGGCTGGGCTTTGGCTTTAGCAGGATGAATCTGTCGAGAAGGTCCGTTTCTGAGCTGGCCTGGGCTGCCCCATACCCCTCACCTGTGGGTATAGAAACTGGCTCAGAACTCAGATCCAGGTCACAAGATGTGCCCTCCATGGGGGTGGGACACGGAAGCAACTCACCTGCATAGCTGGAGGCTTCGGCTATGTTCTGGGAACCCGTGATGTGGTGCCAGTAGGCACTGCGGGGCAGCATGGTAGTGGGTGTGCAGGGATATGAGTAGTGTTCAGTGCCCTTGTTCAGCAGCTGAGGGGCAGAGGGGTCCCTTCCGTCAGCTCTGCAGGCAGTGGCTTGCTCTACCCCTGAGTAGCCAGCCCAAGACCCTGCCTGTTGACTGAGCACACCCGGCTAGAGACTTGGCTGGCAGACCCCAGGCACTCAGGCCTGCCCACCCCTGCCCCCAGCCTCCCCTGCACCCTGGGCTGATACCCACTGCCTCACCCTCACATTCTTCTCCATCTCCAGCAGGACCCGCTTGTGCTGCTCGGCGATGGCCAGGGTGGCACTGTGGACCCGCTGGTATATCTGCTCCCCCTCCTGTGTCTGAAAGGTGTAGAGCCCTTCCCCAGCGTCACACATCCTGAGGACACAGGTGGCAAGGTGGTGGAGACCCTGTGCTTTCTCAGGCTCTCCTGCACGCCAGCGGTGGCCACACCGGGCCCTCTGGGAAGCAGGGGGCTCTGCTCCCAGAGCCTGGCCACATAGCACACATGTGCCATTTTCTGTGTGCCAGCTGGAGGTCTAAATGCTTCACAGAATTAACCCATTCCGTTTCCCCACCACCACCCTCTGATCTCCCCTCTCATTTTGTGTTTCCTTAAATGGTTTTTACAGATGAGGAAACTGAAGCATATAGAAGCTGAATAACAACCAAGATGATACAGAGGATCATACAGAATGTTTTGGGTTCCAGTCTGGGGCTACTCCATCCTCACTAAAATTTTATGAAGTTAGGTACTTTACTATCCCAGGAGACAGATGAGGAAGCCAGGACCCAAGTGCACGATCACAAATAAGTGCCGGTGCCAGCACTGGATCTGAGCCCAGGCAGTTAGACCTCTGGTGCAGTCTCGCCCGCCCTGCCTGCCCTGGGTGAGTTGCTCCTCTGAGCCTCAACTTCTTCATCTGCATAATGGGAAACCACATTCCCCATTGGATTGTTATGCTGATAAGTAAACGAAGCTCCTAGCACAGTGCCTGATGCAGAAGAGGTCTATCATGACGATAGTGGTGCAGGGTGGGGAGGCAAGAGGGTCCTACCGGCCAGCCTCGAAGGTAAAGCGTGTGGCATCCCGGCCATAGCGGCGCAACGAGCAGAGGGGCCACGAGACGAGCTTCACGCGGGGGTTGTGTGTGTCCCAGAGGTAGATGTTTTCGTGGGTGATCTGCAGCTTGCACTCGCCGTACACATCGAGGTTGGGGCAGGGCAACAGGAAGACGTTGAAGCGATCTGCAGCAGGAGAGGCAAGTGGCGTGGAGCTGCCACAGGAGGCGCCTCCTGCCGCCCACCCCCACCCCCCAGGGCCAGGGCTCACCTGTCTGCTCGCACTGCACCCCTGGGGCCAGGAGGTCAGGCTCTCCCAGACTGATGTCATTGAGCCGTGACCCCAGACACTCCACAGACAGTGTCTTGTACCATTCTTCTGCCTCCAGCTCTAGAGAAAATGGCACCTCTTCATGCTGCCAGCTCAGGGTCCCCAGCAGCCCACCCCATCCGCCTTGACCCTCAGTTACCCCACCTTGCAAGGCAAGGAGGGCAAGGCCATGACCCCTGTCTGCCCGCCTGTCCCTCAGACACCCCACACCGACACACCCTCTCCGCCTCTTGTCCGAACCACTGACCATGACCAGTCCAGGGAGCCTAGAGGAGTCTGCAGCCTGGGACCTCACCTGAGTCGCAGGTGAAGGTGCGCGCGGAGTCGTCGGTGAATATGATCGCCACTGCCTGCCTCTTGGTCTCCTTGGGGAGCCGTGTGACACACTTCACATTGCTGATCTCTGTCACCTAGGATGGCATCCATAGGGACTTACCAGGCTGGAGCACCTCCCTCTGCTTCCCCACAGCACTCCCCCACCCCTGCCCCCACCGCCTGGAGGATGTCCTTGGACCTCCCAACAGTAGGTCATCTCTGCTCACAGGAGCGGGGAGCTAGGCCCTGGCCCCTCACCTTGGGGCAGCCTCTGAGGCACACAGACTTCTCATCCGGATACTTCTCCAGCCGCTGGGGCCCCTTGCTGGAGGATTTCCGGAACACCAGCCAGCACCTCCGGTAGATCTGGGGGGAAGACCACAGGGATCAGGCCTCCCCGCCCCTCCACCAGCCAGTGCAGCTGCAGTTCCCCTCCCTGCTGCAGGGGGCAGTGCCACACCGCCCTGCCTGCAGCCTCAGCCTGAGAAAACCTGGACACGGTAGTAACTGGTGTGACACCTCCCTGGGGAGAGGCTCCCTCCCCAAATAGCAAAAACAGCCATTCTCTCCTGGCTCTGGAAGGCTGTTCCACATTTACTGTGAGGGGGCCATCATTTCCGAGTGGTTCCTGTTTATACATTTTGTATTAGCGCTTCCCAGTTTCAGAGTCACTCCCAAGACAGTTCTATTACCCCCATTTACAGGTGGGGAAAGTGAGGCACGACACAGTCTCATCTGGTAAATGGTGGTGCTGGTTGAAAGCAGGCTGTGGAGACCCAGAGCCTCCCATGGTAGCCACTGCACAGGCCATTGCTGCCGGGGCTCCAGCCACATGGTCTCCAAAGACAGGGAGACCCTGGTCAAATTGCCCTGGTCCTGTTCTGGGAGCCAGGCCAGGCTCTTGGTGTTGGTGCCACCATTCTTGTCCGCAAAAGTTTTCCCTCACCCTCTTCTCATCCTGATACCAACCCTGGAATATAAGGAAATCAGGGTTACGTCTCTGCTCCCTCGGGGAACCAGAAGCCCCAGGAGGTGAAGGTGCAGAGCTAATCCAGTGGTACCCCCATCATGCTGCCTTCCCCACACGGCTTCCTCCCTGTGTCTCACCACTGCCAACGCCCTGTGTCCCACTCCCCCTAAATCCTCCAGAGCTTTAGAAACTCCTCCCAAGGGGCAGGAGAGGGGCTGACCATTCTCCAGGGTTAAAGGGGCAAACTGACCTACCAGACACCTTGAGGGGTGGCCACAGCCACCTACACGAGCTACTGAATGGACTCGTCTTCCAGGGGCCCCTCCCCCATGGGACGGAGCTCTGCCTGGGATGCCTGCTCCTTCCAACAGGTCCAGAAGCCTGACAGGCCTGTTCCCCGGGCATCCCCGATGCCGTTCTCACTGGCAAACAGAAAGGACCTACAGGGTGCCCCAGTGCAAAGCAGGGGAGGCCAGCGGGGGGCCTGGGCCACAAACCCAAGGCCCTGCCCCTTCGCTAGCCATAATCAGTCATGGATTCATCAGAGACTTCGCAGGCAGGGTCATAGTGGGCCTAGGTAGTCCCCAGAAAGTGCCTAGAGCCCGGTCATTTCTGGCTCCTGCCCAGGACACTTGAAGGCATGAGTGCCCCTGCACGCTGACCCTGGCTCAGCCCCTGGCCCATCCACCTAGCACAGCACCCTGAGCATCTAGCTGCAAGGCTCCTTTAGGGTAGAAATTGTTTTATTCTAAGAATCCTCACTCAAATCCTGGTGCCTCCTTCCCAGAGCTGCTGAACGAGTGGACGACCACAAGAAGGGACAGTGGATGGACAGCGAGTGCATGCTGCTGGCCCTGATACACCGTGCCAGGCTGGGCCCCACGCAGCCTGCAGCACCAGGGGCAGCAGCCCGAGGCCCCTGAGCACCCTGGTTGCCTGGTTACAGGATACACACTCACACCGCCCCAGGGAGCCTGACTCGAGAGCTCCTTCCCACTTCTCCCAGGCCTTTGATCAGCGCTTCAGAAGCACTCTGCACAGCTCTGCCGGGGAGGGAGGCCCGGCAGGTAGTGGGGTGGGCTCCCAGCTCCTCCAGCGTCTCCGCCTCACCTCTGCAGGCTGACGCTGGGGAGTGAGGCTCGGGTCTGCAGAGGGAAGCTGAATTCATGGAAAGGAGTGACCCAAACACCTGGCCACACCCCACTTCCCAGCCCCTCTCCCTGGCGGTGCCTACCTGTCCACTGGGGTTCCCAGGGCCCCTTTTGGAACAGGTCGGATACTGTCCCCAAGTGGCCGCCCTAAGGCCAGCACCTTCTGGGCTACCTCTGCCCTAGACAGGCTTCAGCCCAGCTGGCTGCGAGGTCCAGGCCACAGGAATGAGGAGTGGGTTTAAAGCTGGGTTCCACCTTCCTGGCCTCCCCACCCAGGCCTCAGCCTCTTTGTTCTGTGCTTGAAGTCAGTGACTGAATCCCTGTCTAGGGAGAGCACAGGGGTCCACGCTGCCAGGGCTGTCCCCACCAGGCTGCGTTCGGAGTTGGGCTTCAAATTCAAATCATGCCACCAGCTCTGCCCTGCAGGACCAAGGGCCCACCTGATGGCAGTGAGGACACTGGCCCAGCACATAACACAGCCCTGAAAGGCCCACGAGGGGAAGAAGGGCTGCTACACCCCTCCCCAAGGCCATCCCTTCCCACCTGGTACCCAGGCTGGAAAGCAGGTGCCACATCCTTGGGCCCCTCCTCATCCTCTGCCCCACTCAGGCTGAACTGGGAGCCCTGGAGCTTCCTTCCCGAGTCCAGGCAATGGGAGGGGGGAAGGAGGAAAGGACTGGAGTCCTGAGGAGAACAGACTCGGTGACTGGGGTCACCAGGGCTTTCCTTCCTGCTGGGGAGGGGCAGCTGCCAGCCCCTTCACTGGAGGTGGGGAAGGGTCTGCAGGGGAGCAAAGGCAGCTCTTGGACTCACCAAGATCATTCAGTGGGTCCCTGGGGGCCCTGCTCATGCCTTCTAGGGGATCTTCCCCAGCCGGGTCTCAAGGCTCGGGGGAACTGGTGCACATCCTCGAAGCCTCATCTGCCGCCCCTCCAAGCCCACCACCAACTCCTACCGTAAGTTCTCAAGTACAGGCCAGGTAAGTGCCAGCTCTGCCCCTCGCTCTCCTGGCCCTGTTCCCCCAAAGCACTCTTCTTTCCAAACACTTCATTACCATCAGAAACACCCTGAAATGTACATATTCACAGGAAAAAAGCAGCGGGAGGCAGGGGAAGGGGTGCTCTAAGGAAAAGAGGCCCCCAGAGGTGGGGGGCAAGGGGCAAGAAGAGCAGGGCCGAGGCAGTGGATCCAGCTCAGCCCGCCCTCCCGGCTCCGCTGCTGCTGCTGCTGCGGCCCAACTTCAACAATAGCGGGAGCCGCCTGCCCACCGGCCACCACAGCTGCCCAGCGGCTGGGATGCCAGCCAGCCGCGCAGGGGCGGGGGCTGCCGCGGGCCGAGCTGGGTGGCACATGCCAGGCAGCCCGCGGAGAGAAGTCTCAAGACCACAAACGCACGATGCCCAGGCGGGCAGGCGGCGCACACACACGCCATGCCTCCGGCCCGTCCCTGGCAGGGCCCGCGGGCTCACCCCCAGCTTTCGGCTCTTCATCTTCACATAGCCCTGCTTGACGATGTCGTTGAAATTGGTCGCCATGGCTGTCCCGCCGTCTCCGTCTCCGGGGTGCTAGGCTGGCCGAGGCAGGGGAGGGACGCCCAGGTGGCCTGGGTCTGGACTCCTCCTCCGATCACCTGGGTCACCTGTTCAGAGGAGCCGGCGTGGCGCCCGTCTGTCATCGGGCCGCTCCTCACCTCGCCCGCGTCAGCATTGTTCTAGCAGCTCCTGTGCCCGGCGCCTGCTGCAAACGCAGATGACAGCGAGATCAGAGACAGTGACATCTCTCTCCCCTCGCTGTCTCGCTCGCTCTCTTTTTTCCTTCCTCTTCCCACACTCCTCCCTCCCTCCCTCCCTCCCTCCGCCCTTCTTCCTTCCCTTCCCTCCCCACCCCAGGGCGACAGAACCATTCAGGAAAACCGAGGTGGAGGCAGCACGAAAAAATGGTCCAGCCCAGTCCCTCCCTCGCGCGGGGCTGGCGGTTAACCCCTTCCTGGGCAGGCTGGCTCCTGCTCCCACCGAGGAGGAGGGCGGAGGAAGGGTGGCCACGAGCTCCCCCCAACCCGGGCTGGGACCCGGAGCTGGGTCCCTCCGTCCCCACAGCTCTCCGGCCACTGGCCCTCTCCCTGTTACAACTTTGGGGCAGACTTGGGGCAACTTGCCAGAACAAACCCCTTCCCGGGGCAGCTGAGCCCCAGGGACAACGCTCCCGGGTGGGGGGGTAGTCCTAGGACAGGGCCCAGGGTCTGATGGCTGAGCAAAGCCCACACCCCGCTCCCTGGGGTTAAAGACAAGGGGCCTCGCAGACTCCAACCCCTGCCCCACCCGTCCTCTACCTGACTCTCTCCAGCCGGGAGGAAAGCTGGGGAGCACCTCCCAGGCCCCTCAGGCCAGCTCCAGGCCCCTGGACTTAGCGCTCCTCTGGGTCCTGCTTCCTGGGTAGGAGGGCAGAGTTCAGTGGGGCGGGCCCCCAGATAAGCCTGAGGAATGTGCCTGCCGGCTGGAGGTGGCCGCTGTGGAAGTAGATGTCTCACCCTGACCCTGAAACTGGGAAAACTGGGCCAATCTGTGAGGGTGGGGACTGGGCCCCAACAGGCCACTGGGTCTGGTGGGGCCAAACAGCGCCTCCATGTTCTGAGCATGGGCAAGAGTTAATTATAGGGAGACTAGCCTGGGTGCGGGGCAGAAGATAGAGTCCAGCGGATGCAGAAGCCAGTGTGGGCACCAAGCCGAGCTCAATATGGAACTGGAAACGAGGGTACCAGCAGGGTCACTTCAAATCAGGCACATCAGTAGATAACACAGACTCAGGGGGATCTTAGCAATGACTGTCTAACAGCCTCATTTTACAAATGGGAAAGAAACTTATCCAGAGAGGGTGAGCCATAGGACTAAGGTCACACAGTAAATCCAAGGAGTAGCCAGAAATGAATGAGAAGTTTCAGGATGGGAGATGGAGGCCAGTCTGGGGACAGATTACCATCCTCTGGACAACTCTGGCTGCCTGCTACCACCTAAGCCTTCTTGGCCACGGAGCCTCAGGGACAGGGCTTGGTCAACCACGTGGCTTCCCGTGTCTCCAGCATCACTAGGTGGAGGTGCAGTAGCATTTGGGGGATCAGCTTAGCCTCTGCCTGGATGGGGCCCTGAGACAAGCATGCTGCTGGACCTGCGGCCACCAGGCCTTAATCAGTCTCCTGGAGGCCAATCTGTTGAGTCCCTAACAGGGAACAGATGGGACACCACAGTGAGCACACACAAACCAGGAGAGGGCCAGAGGGGCAATGATCCCCAGTTCCATGTGCCACTCTCAGCGGCCCTCCTGTTCATTCAATTTGTCTGTCCCTCCCAAACCCAAGCCTTCCACTTTTGCTCTTGGAAGGTCCAGTCCCCACTGGTCGTGCCCAACCTGGGCTCCAGCAGTCAGAGAGAGGTCAGTTTTCCCAGCTCTGTCCCCACTGCCTGCCTCCTGGACTGCCTTGTCACCAGAGCAAGCGCTGGCTCCCTGGAGCTCCCAAGAGGACTAGCAGGCTGGACACCGCTGTGGTCCGGCGCCGAAGGCCCCTTCCCAAACACATCTATGAGAAGCCACCGGGCCCCTGGGTTCATCCAAGGTGGCCAGCAGTCGGCACAGCCAGGAGTGCGAATCCAGCCAGCTGTGCAGTCTGGACAAGCCACTTAACTTTCCTGTGCCTCAGTTTCCCCATTGGTTAAAAAAGCACAAGCTCCCTTCTTAAATGAGGAGAGGAATCTGGAAGACCCGATGCTCACTGCAGACCCAGAAAAACTGCCTTGAAAAACTCCCAGGGCTGCTGGTTCTGGTTTGCTTTTTTCTGAAAGCAGCTGCCCAGTCAGGGCTAGGCAGCCCCCCACAGTCAGCCTTCCACCTCCCGTCAGGCCTGTTCCCTCTGGTGCCATCATCCATCTTCCCAGTGGCAGCAGGGAGGGACAGTGGCCCCAAGCTCTCAGAGTGCTCCCGCTGTGCCCTACACATGGCCCTGGACCCTAAGCTCTAGAATCAGCCTGCAGGGATAAACCAGGAAGCCTGGGGCCAACGTCCTGGCATCTGACTCCGGCTCCAAGTCACAGCAGCTCCAGGCCACACTCAGTCCCTAATGAGTTTGCAAAAGCAAGCCCCCACCTTGACCCAAGATGGTATGGTACAGGATGGGGAATGGCCAACAGGTGGACTCACAAATTTGACAGGCAATAAGGTCAAGGGGGACCTAGACCCACCCCATTCCCTAGAGGGCCTGAACGTGGTGAGCAAGAAAGCGCCCCCACGCTGACCCTGTAAAGCCCAGAGAGCATCCCAAGGCAGAGGGATGCAGAGAGCCCCTGCCCTGCCCAACTGTGGAGCCACTGAGCCTCCAGCAACCTCCCAAGTCTACAGCAGGGGACTGCCCACTACTGCAAGAGGATGTGAGGTCCTGGGCACTGGACCAGAGGTCTGGAAGCTCTGATCACCTAGAAGAGCTGAGTGTCCAGCAGCCCCCCCTCACAGCCCCCCCTCCAGCAGCCCCATCCCAGCCTCACATCAACCTGGCGGCTCCACCCCAGACAGTGCCTGGGCCAGGCCCCCACAGCTTTTCAGAAAGAGCCAGGTACGGTCCCTCTGCTCCCTCTGCTCCCGGGGCAGGCAGGTCCCTGCCCACCTGCCCCATGGGGCAGCCACTCTGAGCACTCCCTCCCTGGATTCTGCCTGGAGGCTTTGGCTCCAGAACAAACGCTACACGCTGAAGCTGGCAACCAATGACAGAGCAGGAGCAGATGCCCGCCTGGCTGGGCCTCTCCACCCGCCAGACAGATGGGATCTTATCAGAGCTTCAGGGACAGCCCTACCTGGACACCATCTCGCTGTCTGCCTGCCTCCACCCCACAGCAAAGATCCTATCAGAGGGCGGATTCTCTCCAGCACCAGGGACACTTCCCATTACCTGCTCGCCTGGCTCCTCATCCCCAGTGCTATTGTTATCAGGGCCCCGGGTATGGAGCCACCACCAAAACACTGCAGGTCCCATCCTAGGTGACATGGACACCAAGTACCTAACTGGGCAAAGGGACATGTGAACAGCCATAGTATCCAGATCCTGAGCCCAGGAAAGTGGTGCTATGTCACTGCCATCTATCCTCTTCCACTGTCCTACCACCCCTCAGCACGCCAAACTCCTCCTCACACAGGCCCACTATACCTGCTGTTCCCTGCCTGTGACACTGTTCCCTCACAAGTTCTCAAGGTTCATTCCACTGCTTCATTCAGACTTCAGCTCAAAGGTCACCTCCTCCAGGAGGCCTTTCCTGACCACCCTGGCCAGAGGAGCCCTGCTAGTTAGCTCTCTCAGGACATCCAGCGTCACTGTGGGATTTTCTTGTTCCTTCATCTGTCTACTCCTCAGCCACAGAAAGACATCTAGGTTGGCAGCTCCCTGATGGACAGGCCTCTTCTGTCTAGTCAGAGCTCCAGCCTGGCTCCGAGGACACTGCCAAGTGCTGAGAGAGAGGTGCTCAATATTTGGGGACTGAACAAACATTGCTCTCTAGGTTTTTCTTCCTCATCCTTCCACCACCACACATCTGGCTGCCAGCTCAGTTCCAAAAGCATGAGTGCCCTGAGGCCCAGTGCTGACCATCATGGGCAGCAGAGTTGTTAGAGGAGAGCCAGCAGGACTCAGGACCCAGTCTGGTTCAAAGCTGCCTCAGGGGACAGCGTGCTGCTGACGCTGTGTCCAGGTTTCACTGGGTGGCCCCACCTTGGTTGGGGTTGTTAGGTGAGGTCATGCCCAGGCATAGAAAGGAGCACTTGCTCAGAGAGCTTACGGCTTCTGGGGCCCACCCCAGATGGGGGGCAGGAACCGCTCGTCCTGGACCCAGTTCCCCTGAAAGGGGTCACCTGAAGCCTAGTCCCTAACTGCTATTAGTTAGTGGAGTGTTCTAGAGTAGACTCTGGCCCCTGCTCAGCACTATCAGACCCCATCCAGCCTGAGCCCTCCATTCAGTGCCCTGGCAACTGTCCTGCCGGGAACTATGAGGGCACCACATAGTAGACTGAGGTGCTCAACCTCAGCTCGTGCCCCTTTGCCATGACAAAAAGCATTTAACTGGAACCAAGGCGGGGGGGGGGGAGGCCCCAGGATGTCAGGGGAGAAAGGGTCAAGGGCAGCAGGCAGTTGGCCATGAGTGTAAGCAACCGCAGGCACCCCATCTTCAGGTGGGGGTGGGCAGCGGGGCCAGTGCGGGTAGAGCCACAGTCTCTTGGAATCTGGAGAAGTTGAGCAAGCAGGAGGGCGGGGGGGCGGGGGCTGGGAGAT